CTAATTAGTTAGGCAGATCCCAATTTAATAATTTTTTTAGACTCTAACTACCATTTATATTAGATTTCCCTTAAAAAAATACATTGCTATATATGATGATTGATTCTTAAAGTATATTCAAAACATGAAAAACTCAAAAGAAATACTGAATGGGAATATGCCCCAATCTAATGTTAAATAAAAATGAGTTATAAAACAGTGTATATATTGTGATCCCAATTTAAATTCTTTTTTAGCCATCATATATCTGGCTTCACTGTGTTTATTAAAATCTGTCAGCTGACTCAACAGAAACATTTCCTGTCTGCAAAACAAAACAAAATTATGTCGAAGGTGTCACTGTCATCATTTTTGGGATTAAAAACCATGAGGATCAATGTTGATGGCTTTCTTCCAGAGATGTGAGGTTGCATGGCTTGCTGTTCCCCCTCAAATTAGGTTAACATGGTTTGTTAAATAGCATGCCACCTAATCAACAGGCCCAAGTCTTAATACTTAAACATTTTCTGTCATTTTTAAAAAATTACCAATAAAGGGCAGAAGTTCAAACTCTGGTCATTTACCTACATACTGGTTTGTGCTGAGAACATTGCTCAGGGCAGATTTCAAACAGGAGCAGTTGAGTGTAGCAGAAAAATATATGAAAATAGAACATTGTATAGAGTGTAAGCACTTGAACAGCAGCTGAAGACCTGAATTCTAGCTGGTTGTCACTAACAAGCCACGTTATCCTGGGAAAGTCCATCTCCTCTTCGGTAGGAGAGAGCTGTATTCCTGAAATTCTCTGCATTGTGTTATTTCTTCCCCGCAAAATGTAAGATCTACCAAAGCAGCATTGTCTGCCTTGTCTACCTAGGACTGAGTCTGAGAAATGTTCCTGGTACTTTGCACATGCTCAGGAGATACTTGTTGATATTGAAAAATCCATTAAAAAGGCTTTTTTTTTTAAATGTATGGAGTTTTAGCTATTTTTCAAATACCTTTTACACAACAGACGTTCAATTCTCACTAGTCTGCAATATCACTTGATTCTCAGGGGAGGGGCAAACTTTACTTGTTAATACAGAAATGCAGGCATGGAGAAGCCTCCCGGAGTGGGAAAAAGAATTATCTATGCTTTAGAAAATCTGGCCCACCACTTACAACTATGTGATTTGGGTCTAGGCTTAGAGTCCATTTCTCTAAGGTTCTGTTTCCTTATCTAAGAAGTCAGAGGGCTGAACTGGACCCTCAACACCCTTGTGGCAACACACCTCTGACTCTGGTCCTGTTCTATCTGTTACATGTAACAAATGGGAATTAAGGACAGATGAATCCATGAAAGACGTAGGGCTGCATGAGGAATAAAGAATATGTAATTAGTGCAGAGGTATTGGTTCACTGGAAACATCAAAACAGGCAGACTCTGCTTTTTATGTGCACAACCTAAAATCCTTTATAAGCAGGGGTGGCCCTTCTTTTGCTGTTATTGGTTCATCAAAGCAGGTCACTGACCTCAGCCATTATCTGCTGTCATACTCACTGTCCTGGGGTGCAGACACCATGAGAGAAAGCAAATCCATGAAATGTTTGCATTATTTAAAATGCTCAATTGTGGGCATACTGAGGATTTGCTATAACTTTTATCCCCAAAGCTTGGCTACTCATATGTAGGGGCCTTTTATTAAAAAAATGATTACAAGAGTATTCTAGTAGTGAGTTGCTACTGACCTCTACACTTTGTCCTATTACAGTACGACCCTAATTTTTTCAGACCAAAGTCTTTAGGTATCATTAGTAAGAGGAGCCAATTTATTCTAGCACTGCTAAGGAAGGGAATCTTGCATGAATGAAGAAAGAGACACATAGATAAAGGTGGCCAGCAAGACTAATCATGCTGGAAAAGGCAGTCTTCTGATGAAGGTCCAGATGCATGGAAAGGACCAGGAAGCAGAGAAGGAAAGATGAGCCAATACTTTGTTGGCAGTGTGAGACTCTTGAGGGTTACCCAGTGGCCCATCAGGGCTACATTAGGAAGGTCTTCTGGTATCTCGTGTATCCTGTGGCCTTTAAGTTCTACATTTTGTGTGGGAGGAAACACTCTTGTGTGGGATCAACAGTCTGCATTAGAATATATTGCTGATGGCTGTGGCAATAGGCCTAATCTCAATTTTTAAAATATGCAAAGAATGGAAAGGTACACATCAAAATATTGGCAATCAGTCACTTTTTCTGATTTATGGGTTTTTCTATTATTTTTCTTTGTTTTTTGAACTTTCAACAAAGAACCTGTATTAGTTTGTTACAATCAGGGAAAATACTTATATTAACATTGTTTCTTTTAGGTAATAAAAGAATATATTACCCATTATAAAAAATGTTTATAGAAGTATAATGTTGCAAATTAATAAAATATATCAATCCAACTTCTTAGAAAATAAAGCTCGAAGACTTCAACTTGCTCAAAAGATAGTTGTTTCTCTGTACAAGCACTCACTCTACTGGTGACTCAGAGAACATACTTAGTCTGACATTTCTGAATTGTATTATTTTCCACAAGCACTAGAGGGCAGGGTTTCCACTATAACTCAATTTCACCAATTATCACTATCACTGTATTATATTTGAGTGTGTTTTTTTTGTCTGTGGTTTCTGTTAATGTGATCAACTATCACTATGCTTATACTATGCCTTTTTTAGACTGTGCTTAATTACCATGATAACTTCAAAAACAGGTTAAGTCTCATGAGATATTTAATAGCTTATTTATCATATGTAAAGTTCATTTACCCTTACTTATACACTGAAAGGTATTTCAATATATATACATATATAATGCATATCTCAAAACTGACTTTTTAGGGCTGTGTTAAGAAACATGTGATCTAAGTTTCTGATCTGACACTATGACATTGAAATTGAATGACCAATAAACACACTGAAAATGTAGGTCTATCACTACTGGTTCTAGTTTATAAAATATGAAAAGGTAATTTTTAAGAAATTAGTTAAATGCCCTTAGGATCCCAGGTCTTTAAGAGAACAGTGAAATGTTTTTCTCTAACTCTAAATCTTCTCATGTCTATGAGGCTTATGAATTCTGGTGGTGATGGAAGAGAAGCTGAGAGGGAAAGTGACATTCCTGGGAAGTGAGAACAGCAAGAGTAAAGCCACAGAATCTTAAAAGTAAGCAGTTTATTTGGGGTTGCCAAAGTAATTAGGCATGTGACTACAGTATAAAGTGTGCTGGAAAAACAACTGAAATTGGAAAAGAAGAAAAGGTCAGTTGGGGAAGGGCTATTGTGCTATACTTGAGATTTGTACTTTATTTTGAAGGCAATAGGAAAGCTACTGACACTTTTTAAAGAAGTAGAGCTTTGAGTAAGATGTGTTTTTAGAAAAGTAACAATAGATTGATTTAGAAAAATAGGGGAGATAAAAACGTCAAGTATACTGGCCAAGGCCTTAAATAGAGTAAAAACACTTGAGGGGTACAAAGACAAAGTATTTCAAAAACATTTGAAAAGGCAGGAATCACTGGTCTTAGTGAAGGTGTAAACAGAATGAATAAGGGTTTCAAGCTTTGATAAGTGAGTGGATACTGCTATCTTTAAGACATACTTGGTGTTTTAATAACTCTAAGTATAAGATGCTTTCTGAAATTAGATAGCAAGATCTGCTAAATAGCTGGAAATGCAGGGCTGAAATTCAGGGGGAAAGTAAATAAGGATATAAATAAGGGGGATATAAATAAGTAAAAAAAATGAGATTTAAGTTTTTTTGTGACTATGAAGTCTCATTATACCATCTATATTAGACTCCTGCCACTTGTTAAATAATTAATGTCAATGGGCAACAACAGAATATACATTTGACTTAAACAATGTATCACTTGGCAAAATAAACTTTCCAACTGGATGATACCCTTGTAAACTATGGGATGGTATTGTATACGGTTACGTATAACTTAATCCACTCAGAATATGTATTAATCATTATCCACCCCAAACATACACAAAATTCATTGGCAAAAATTTTATTGGCAAAAAAAATTTATTGGCCAAAAAACATGACTTATGTTTCCTACACAGATAAGGATTTATCAAGATGTTTAAATGCGCACACACATTCAGTTAAAGTGAAGCCAAAATTTGTAGACATATTTTTAATACATAAAAATGTGAGATCACTATGGGAAAATACTTCATTTTACTAATGAAGCCCTGTAGTAACAATAACTAAAAACTATCATTAGTATTAAACCTCAGAGAACCTCAAATAGATGTTCTTATTTGATCTCTACAAGCTGTCCGTTAGGTAGGCTAGAGCTGGCATAACAGCTATAATTACGTATCTTTAGCAGAATTTACTTTCTACTTTCTGTCCTTCATCCTCCCCCTACTCCAACACCACAGTGTGTAGAATAAAGTAGAGGTATAACATCCACTTATCGGGAAATTTATCCTTAAAACCTCAGCTTTCCTGGCATAAATAGACTAGATTAGAATATTGCCTACTGAATTTTCTGAAACTCTTTGAAACAGAAAATAAAGACTGCTATGAAATTTATCAAATCTGGTCTACACATAAATGGTTAATTGTTACACAAAGTTTAAATATGAGGAAAAGTCCAATCCAATCATTGTTATAAGAATGACCATTTATACATAAGTCTAGTAAAACTTTGATATTGCTATATACTTAGTCTTTATAAACTGTTTTCAATTAAATGTTATTTCAAAAGGACAAATAGCCATCTAAGTTTCTTCTTAGATCATTCCTTGAATTTCATTTTTTAAAACCATGTCATTATCTATGTATGGATTTTAAAATACTCTCCTCCATTTATCTAAAGGCTGAACCAAGATAAAGATCTTGTGTCACTATATTTTATAGATTCAAGACTAGGGCCTGAACATATTATCTCCCAAATAAGCAGCCTCTTGCTTTCATTTGCTTTAGTATTTTCATCAGAGTTGGAATGGGTTAAAAAAAGAACAAGAAGAACCAGGTATACTTACTTAAACCGGGCAGGTGAAAGAGGAGTAGGAGGAAACATGCCTGGTTCAAAAGAATCAAAGTAAGTCACTGTCCAGGAAAAGCTGCAGCAGGAGAATCCAGCAGTTAGGGATATTATAAGTAGAGTCCAGAATCCTAATGGGAAAAGAGAGGGGAAAAAATTGAATTATTAATGCTAAAACAATTTAAATTAAACCAATATCCTCACATTCAGAAGATCATATACATACTCCTGATCTTCTGAATTATATGTAAATGATACATGAAATTTGGGCTTAGTACAAGCTTACCCATGTAGAAATGTAAACTACTAAAATACAACCAGTAATCATATCACTGAATGTTTTAATTATAATTTAGCATTTGGAAAAGAGTACAAATTCAACTTAAAAATATAACTCATCTTCAGTTTTATAATATTCAACTATAAAAAATGGTTAAAATTCTTAAATATTTTTCATTGAACTTTGTGAATCATAGCTTGCTATCTTTTATTACTTAGCACTGATTTCCTTCTATATACTATATACTACTGACATATGAATCAATTTTAGAGTGCCTAATCTTTACAGCTTTCCTATGAACATATAAACAATCTGATTCTTTAGCCTTGCCCAATATATGAACAAAAGTTAACTCCCAATTTATAAATGGGTTGGGATTCTAAATTTTATTTTTAGTCAGACTGGCCTGCATTTTCTCAAATCAAGTCAAAACCATGGTCACTATGCTAGGGGAATTGAAAGGGAAAAGGGTTGAGGATTAGAAAAAAATGGGGGGAATACAGTGAACATAGAGAAAAAAATTTTGAAAGTTTTTAGATACAAACTGCCTTCTTTTTTTTTTTTTTTTTAAGATTTATTTATTTTTAGAGAGGGAAGTGAGGGAGAGAGAGAAACATCAATGTGCGGTTGCTGGAGGCGGTGGCCTGCAACCCAGGCATGTGGCCTGACTGGGAATCGAACCTGCAACACTACAAACTGCCTTCTTAAAAGAGTTTACTAAGCCACTAATACTGATGAGTGTGTTCCAGGCCTGTCATACAAGGAGGAGAGTTCAGAATAGTACAATAAAGAATGACATTAATTTCCTGGTTTCACAAAATTACACAACCAAACATGCCTTTATTTTAGCAAGAAGCAGGTAAGAAATATGTACATTGGACTGCTTGTAAATCATTTGAAGACCATTAACAGACTGGTAAAACTGCTAAAAGATAAGCTCAGGGCAATAGAGCATTTAGAAAAACTGTGGCCAAGAAGTTTTGAAAGATTACATTTTTTTCTCCTTATAGTTCCTTTTCCCTCACTCCCTTATAAAGAGTTAGGGGACTTTGTGTTCACCGCCCCAGAAGGAAGTAGCAAAAAAAAAGGAGAACTAGCCTCAAAGTCTGTGGTATGTTGCAAATAATTAAAGGAACTAAGAGAGCAGGAGGGTAAACACAAAATGTCTTGAAGAATAAGAAATTGATTGAGGTATAGATAAAATGTTTGTGTATAACAGGGAGAGAGCAAAGGCTTTATCTGAAGGCAATAAAGATTTCCCATTTGGAGAAAGTGGGTTGTGATTGGTGCATTTGTACTTGTGTGTATACACAGGGAGGGGGTAGTCCTGCCAGGGCTTCCTGGCAGCCATCAATAAAAGGCCACAGAACATCAGAGAGGGATTATAGTATGTACAATACCTTAGCAGATGGGCCCAAACCAAACTTGCAGATGCTTCTACCCTGAGTGGGTCACAGAAACAGCAGATAATATATGGGTAGAAAATGCTACATCTGAAAGGCCATCCTGACCAGCATGCAATATATTTCAGCAGTAACTCATTTGGGCAAATGTTTTGAAGACTAGATTGCATCCCCATTCTACTATCCTGGTATAGCGTCAGCCTTCAGAACCATAACCCACTCTACTACTGACTAAACAAAATTTTTACAGTAATGACTTGAGGTACAACTTGCTGCTAATCCAGCAAGACAAGAGATCAAAACAGAAATTGTAAGATTACTTGGTATACAACTACAACTTAAGGGTGACTACATTGCCAAATAGCTGTTTTGTTGTTATTAAGATAAACACCTACCTCTAAAAAGGGAAGAAAATAATTGACAAGTTTACTTTAATACCTTATAATACACAGTCTGTTGTAGAACAAAAAACGGTAATTAAAAAAAATCAAGTATTTATTTAGGGACTGCTGTGGAACAATGGAAGCTACATTTCTGAGTATCTAAAAAAAGTGAGAAAGGGACAAAAGTAACATGAAAATATTAGGCTCTCTAAGAAGCCCGTCGAGCTTTTCCATTCAGGTGCTTCAACAGAACACCATGACTACCATCCCACGATCTAAGTGCTTGCATTTAGGGCATTTTAATTCTATATTAACTTTGAACTAATCAACAGCTATACCACTGATAAAAGAAAGTCAGGTCACAATGATAGGGCTAAAACAGTCCATTGTAATATCATGGTCTAAAAGTATTTAATGTTTCTAAAAATTACCCAATTTGTTTATGAACAAGCAGGAAAAACACAGAAATTGGCAACTCTCAACAATTAAATTTGCAACAAGTCCCTACCTCTAGAATCCCGAAGCTAAAAATTTGACAAATGTTTTGTAAATCTATTTTTACCAAAAATTGACCTAACTTTAAAAGATATAAAAGCATCTAAAAATTAAATAAAAGTGTTATTTTCCCAATTCCTCTCCTAAAACTAATCAGCTAAGAGTGTGTTGTGCATCTTTTCTAAAAATTAGAGCTATCTAGGTAATGTAGGTAGATATATGGAGCTAGCTAAAAAAAAAATGTTATGCACATATCTTTTAGTTTATTTTCCACAAATGGGATTCTCACGAGAAAAAATGTCCTATACTTTGGTTTACTCAACAGTGTTGAAGAACTTTCATATCAGTACACAGAGCCACATTTCCATTGCATATTTGTATTACTCCAGTGTTTCACTACTAAAAGCAATGCAGCATGAAACAATCTTGTACTTAACTACATAATTGTACAAAAATATCTGTAACGAATTCCTAGAGGAATGACTGTTGTGTTAAAGAATATACATCTTCAAATAAACATATGCATCCCTCTTTCTTCTCTACAGTTCAACTTTTCATCAGTTTAGGAAATGATACAAATTCATCTTTTCCACCAACTGAAATCTCTTGGACTCAATGTTTTTGCCCAAAGCAAAGATGAAAGTACATAGGTAATTCCTATTCTAATCCCTTTGTTGGAGTTTTATATTCACTTATCTAATGGTATAGTTTGCTTTGGTATATTTAATTTTTCAAAATAAGTCATTTTGGTTTCAAAGGATAGTTACATCTCTAAAAATATGCTGGCAGCTTTTAGTAGTTCTATAGAACCTTCCACCAAAAAAAGATTATTATATGTTCTAAACATTTCGAGTTTACTGAGCAATTTCAGGCTAAAGCAATGAGTTTACTTTCAGAAGTTTTATGAAGTCAGAAATGAGGAGGCAGTAGTTTACATATATCATATGTAAGAAAAAACACCCAGGAAAAAAAAACTCCCATGTTCTCATACTAGAAAAGGTTTCTTATTAAAACATTGTTATACAAGCAAAATTACACATTCTTCATAAAACTTATTCCTGCCTTAAGTAAACAGTGGGACTAAAAGACACAGCTTACTGATAATTTCCAAGTCCCAATTTAGAGAGCTGACACTTCAAATGTTTAAATAAACTGTTATACTATGAAATACAATGCAGTAATGAAAAAGAATGAGGTAGATCTGTGCATACTGATGTAGAATGAACTCTAAGACATTTTAATAAAGCTGCAGAACATGCATGATTCCAATAATATTTTCCTGAAAGTAACAAAACCACACATTTTAAATCATATCTATATAATAAATGAACAGACAATGATCTGAAAATATATACAAGGTGATAGATTAGTGGGAACCTTTACTTTAATTGTTGGATTTTTAAAAAATTTTATAAGAGTTTATTTTAGCCAGCCCTGGCTGGCGTAGCTCAGTGGATTGAGCGCAGGCTGGGAACTAAAGTGTCCCAGGTTCGATTCCCAGTCAGGGTACATTCCTGGGTTGCAGGCCATAACCCCCAGCAACCGCACATTGATGTTTCTCTCTCTCGCTCTCTCCCTCCCCCGCTTCCCTCCCTAAAAATGGATGAATAAAATCTTTAAAAAAAAAAAAGAGTTTATTTTAGCCTAATTGATAACAATTGCTAAAAAGATCTCAAATGTCCCCTATTGGATTTTTTTTCCTAGTGAGATTACATTACTCTTATAATTAATTAATGAAATCACAAGTGAAAATTAACTTAACATTTAGGTCATTTAAAAAAGTATAAAAACTATAAGCAGCTGCTACTAATAAAGTTTAGATGTACTCATGCATAAAACTGATCAATTTCTAAATATGCATGTAAGCAAATTTTTTCCAACTTTATCAGATGCTGTAGTTTTCTAACTTAGGAGGATGACATAATTTAGTGTTCTCTCTCAACTAAACCACATTCTACTGATAGCTCAAGTCTTGAAAGCCCTTGAGCAATTTGTCTCTCTCCATGTCAATGCAGAAATCTGTACAGCCTTTCTGCAAACTTATTTCCCAGGGCAGGAGCAGAGGAAAGAGGGTCTGTCTGGTCTTCCTCCTCTACCAGTGCCACCTGAATACATAGTGGGTCCATTGCAACGACAGTGGTAAAAGTCCCTACCCAACTACCTGTCTACCTGCAATTCAGCGTGTAGCAATTCCACTCTTCCTCCTGCTGAAAAGGTAAGAAAAGTTTAAGGGGACATTTTGATAAAGTGACTAAAACTTGAGAAATAGCACCTGCAGCTTCCAACCATGTTAAAACATCAGATTCACATGGAAATCTTTTAAAAAACCCTTTTTTATTATAAACAATTTCAAATATACATAAAAGTACAGGGAAGAGTACAATGAAACCCCACGTACCCATCACTCATCTTTATATAATTAACTCATGGCAAATCTTGTTAAACCTGTATTCTCCTCTGAAGCCTGTAATACTAGGGAAAACAGTCATCATTACTATCTGGATCCAACATACCATTTCTCTTATTTTTAAGCCATTTGATGAACAATATACAGAAGAATAAAAAGACAGTAAAAAACCCACAAACTTTGTTAGAAATTTTAATAAGATATAGATGTATCTAAATTTTTATTCTTAATTTCCCTGGTTTTAAACATATACACACTAGAGGTGGGTTATGTCTTAAGTGCAAATAACTGCTTACTAACTTCATGCATAAATCTGGAATATAACTACCTTATAAATAAATACTGATTCGAGATTTCAGTTACATCTCTAATTGGTTATAGCTTGTCATTAATATTTTCTGTATTTGCATTATCAAAATATAGTGCTTTAAGGAGCTTTTAAAAATCTTTCATGGCTTAACATTTTGGTTAGGAAGATAACAATTTTCTTTGCTCCATACGTTGTGAAACATTTTCATGTTCAGATTTTAAACAATTTGAATGATCAATCCAATACTTTTTTCATGTCATTAGCAAAGAGTCATATAATGATCTTCGTATTTGCTGTCAAGTATCTACCAAGCATACCCAGAAGCAATGGCAGGCTATTTAAACATAGAAAATGAAACAGCAATGATAAAGCCCTATTGTATTTTTTTTTTGATACTGAACAAACCATTTCTTCAGGTGAAAAGTGCCATCCATTCTATGTGAAAAGTGCCATCCATTCTATGTGAAACCTTTTAAATAGCAAGTTAAGAGTTCATGTCTAGTTCAGAACGACCTCAAAAGATGAGGTATCAAGAAATGCTCTGAAAACTTTTATAATTTTAGCTGTTTTTTGGGGGGGATGAAACAATATAACAACATACGCTGATAAAATGAATAACTGAATAAATACATGTTTTCTCATGCAAGAAGTTGAGACGAGCGCAAACAAGTTTTCATGGAACACGTAGCAAATAAACCTGTAACCTGAAGATAAAGGTTTCAGGTTCTGCAAAATCAGGTAGACTATATTTTGTATCATCATCAGGGCACTAGCCTTGAAGAGGTAAATTAGTTTGCTAAGATTGGGGCGGGGGTGACAGGCTAGGATCTCAAAAAGATTTTAACAAAGAGAATATGGCAGAAAGGTAAAGTTCTAAGCTCCTTAAAGTTATTTGGGCACAGAGAAATAAATATAAGATAAATAAACCTTGAATTTTTCACTAGAAACCTGTAAACTATAGCATTATAGATTCAACAGGTATTCTTTAGAAACTCAGGTCTGACACTTTCCAAGTTAACATTAAACTTTGCAACTATACCAATGCTTTGCACAATTTTAAAACAAGTTATTTATAAGGAATTTTGAACATAAATTTCTCCTGAGGGCTGCTTAACATGTTATCTTACTACGTTTATAAGGAAGTTACTTTTGCTCGTTTGTAATTCCTGGCAAGAGGGATATGGAGACTCTTCCAGTACGTAACTAGAAAACGTTAAGTATTTGCTAGATCTTTATCACATACAGTTGTGTTCAAAATATATTCCTAGTATGTGTGCTATACATATATAGACTCACATATACACAGTATACCTATATAAAAAGAAAATTAATAAAATTTACCATGCACATACGCAAATAAAGATTAAGACTGAGACAACTGCACAAAAGATCATATTAAGTATTTTATCCAGAACTTTGTAGTTTAAACATGGTCTAGAAAAACAGAAGTGAGCTAAAAATCAAATCAAGTGACAAGTACATACCTAATAGCCCTGTGTCTACATCATCTTTATTCTTCAAATTCTCAGCATGTAACTCTGCAAATACAAAAAAGATAATTTGAACAGTGGCTCAAAAGCTGGAAAGATATCATGGAGTTGTGGCAAGTGCTATACAGTCAGAAACTAGGTTCAAATTGATTCTAGTTAGTAGTGATGTGACCTGTAAGAGGGCTGTAAATCAACTGCCACTTATGTAAAATGGGGATGTTTATCCCACTAGATTGTTGTTGTAAAGGCATTTATTGTTATTCATTTACAAAGCACACTAGATTTTGAATTCAATTTTTCTCCATTCTCCAAAATAAGCACAGTTCAATGCTTCCACATTTTGTGACTTCATGATAAAAAGGTAATCTCTCAGATCAAAAGAGAAATAAACTACCTACAAGTTAAAACTCGAGTTGCAGTGAAAAAAGAGGGGGAGGGGAGCAAGAGGATGAAATATTGACACCTACCTAACTTAACATTATTTACAACCAACACCATTGTATGAATAGGTAAAACTTGCTAATTTCTTTCCTTTGAAAATCAAGCATGGTAAGCTTTTAGATGCCGCTAGTGAGTTGGAAGCAATAAGAGAAAATAAAAACTACAATTAAACAGATTAAATTGTTCTGTGAAATAAAAGTAATACTTGAGCAACAATGTGTTGGGTGTTTTTCATACAACAAAGGTATTTTGTTTAATTGTTCTTTTCCAATAACTGCCAAAATGACATGAGAACTGACAATTAAAACTAAGCTGATTCTTTTCATCGTAGGCACATAATATATTCGTATTAACATTGGAAAAACCTTTCAAGGCACATATCTTTCTATCCCTACCTGGCCAATATGTCAACTCCAGACACAGGAAGATAAAACTAATAGAGAAAGAGTAGACTAATTTCTGCAGAGTTTTTTCGTTACATTCAGCTGCAAGCCTAATACAAAACCAAGAGGGGCTATTTTACCTATAAAAGTATTAACTTAGCTTATGGGTTTAAAATCCCTGTCCTTCAGGAATTCTGAGTGTACGGAGGAATCGGTGGATAGCATATCTTCAACCATTTGTAAAATAAAGTCTTTGAACACATGTAGCCTACTTTACACATATTTTTACCATCTTCTAAACGTCGTTCGTGTTTTAATTCTGCGAATTTTCACCTCAAGTAACTATAGTTCACTGACTGTAAGATACTGTGCAACTCCAGATCTTTCCTAAAATGCATCTCCTCATAATGGACCTGGGTCATGCAGCTTTAAGAAAAGACAAAGGGAGAGCAGAGGGTTGCAGTCGAAGACTCCTGCAGAAAGTGGCCTTTCATGGGGAGAAGGGTGATAAAAGCAAGAGACACCTTTGGGCTCAACTTTATTGTGCACAAATTTTCACAGGCCGGCCTTCTGTACCTTTTACGATCAGATAGGCGATGGCGAGGAGGAAAGCGAGGAGGACGGCGAATAGCAGCGAACAGAGAATTGAGAGGACCTGTACCGGCCACCGCCGAGCCTGGGCTCGGCCGCGCGCATCCGCCGAGAAGATGCCGTTGCGTTTATCCGGCAGAACTGGAGACCCGTCCCCCTCCGGCGGGAGTAGCGAGACCTTTCTAGGCTCAGACAACGCCCCAGCAGAAAACTCTGCCCGCAAGTCGCGGGCTACTTCGTCACATCCCTCCTCTTCGTCGACTTCACCTTCACCCCAACTACCCCCCTGAGTAAAGGAAGATAACGCGGAACGAGAGTAAGGGACAGGGCTGCAGAGGCGGCGACGGTGCAGCAGAGAAGAACGCCGCGCGCTCTCCACGAACGACATGGCGGGAAAGACACAGAATCGCGCGGAGGTCGAGCGTCTCTCACCCGCCCCGCCTCGAGCTCTCAGCAGCCTATCAACGGTTGGTCTCCCCGACGGCCGGCACCATCCGGCTGCAGCGCGCAGGGGTGTTCAGTGGTAAGCGGCGTAGCGAAGAAGGTACCATGGGGCCCGAGGAGAGGTTGGACACCCCTAGATCAGAGCACAACCCCCACTTTCTAGAAAGGAAAGGTAGCAGGGGAGCGCGCGGAGAGAGACGAGTCCAGGCCAAAAGTTGTCGAGACCCCTCTCCCTGCAGTGCTTCGTCTCGGCCAGAGACCTCCGCCACTGCCGCGTCACCTCCAGGCAAGCGCGGGGCCCAGCAGCCCCAAAGCTGCACGTTCCTGATGCCCGGTCCTAGCGCCCGCCCTTGAACTTCTGATTAACATTCCCGAACCTATCAGCTTTTTCCTTTCTTGTCCCTACTCTCGCACTCTTCCACGGCTTGCCTCACTAACGGTAGCTCATCCGCCGGTGCTCTTGCCTCGCGTTAACTTCCCATCCCTTTTTCTCTTTTGCATTGTTCTCCCCGCCCTTACCACAACTTCCCTCCACGCTGCTCGACACGCCTCCCGCCCTCCATCCCTCCGCCCAGGCGCGCGCTGTCCAGCTGGTGCGTAAGGAGCTCGAGCTCTAAGCTCTGGACCCCTCCTTAGCCTTCCCCGCCCCCTTCCCCTCACCTCGAGCACTGCGCGCGCGCGTCGGGTCCGGACCACCGCTAACGCTAGAAGCTTCTTACCTCACCCCCACCTTCCCCACCCTATCCCTGGCGGCCTCAGGTTTGTGGGGCGTGTGTAATTCGGGTGGGCGGGTGAAGGTGGCAGGTCCCCACTGCCCCACCCCCTACGGGGTGAGGCGGTCTAAGCTCGAAAAGCTGGGACACAGTTATCTTCCCTTCCTGGGGGGAAGTTGGTGGAGTTTTTCCGGCAGAGGACTCGGCGCAGAAACTTCCTCCGTCCCCCTATTCCCCCTCCATGCAGGCGACGCCAAGTGAGGCTGAGGCTGGGGGCGAATCGCCGCAGAGCTGCGTGTCGGCAGCGCACTCTGATTGGACAGCGGGGAAGCCTGTCAGCTTATTGGCCCCGCTGATCCCGCCCCGTAGTGCCGGGCAGCCTTTAACCTTTAGCCCCAGCGGGCGCCAGCCACTCAGATCGCTGCTTGTTGGTATATGCAGCGGCAGTGGCCGCCGGCGGAGCAGTCTGAGCCAGACGATGAGGCCAGGGACGGGAGCCGAGCGTGGAGGCCTCATGGTGAGTGAAATGGAGAGCCATCCTCCCTCGCGGGGTCCTGGGGACGGGGAGCGGAGATTGTCCGGCTCAAGCCTCTGCTCCAGCTCTTGGGTCTCTGCTGACGGCTTCCTGAGGAGACGGCCCTCGGTAAGGGATCGGAGTGGCACAATGAAAAAAGGAGTCAGAGAGACAGGAAGCTTTCTCCAAAAGGAGAAGATGCGAGAAGGACGAAAGAAGAGCTCGAGATGGTGGGATGTGTTCTGAAGGAGAGAGAGGGAGGGTGGGGATTCGCGCAGGGAAGAAGGTGGGACCCTGGAAGTTCCCAGTGGGCCTGGCTTAGACAGATGCGCGGTGGAGGTGCTGGGCCCGGAGTGCGGTGACCGTGTCGGAAAGGTAGGCCCGATTTAGGAGGGAGCGGGAGGCGGAGACGTGAGTCTGTAGGTTTTAAAAGAGGCTGCCAGGATCTGTTTATAGTAGAGGTAGTGATTTCTGTAGAGGGACAGCTGGAAGAATTGTCAGGTAGTAATTACTTGGTTTTAAGACTTGGAACAATGGGCACACAGGTAAAGGAAGTACTTGTAAAAGCGCATTACAGTGGATGAATTAGTTTTCATTTAGTGTGTGAATGACAGACATCAGTCTTGGAATAAAAAAATTGAGGGCAGAAGTAATTTCACCCGTGGAAAGATTATGTTTTGGAAGTAATATGTGTATTAGGAGAGAGGTGTCCCTGAGTACTCTGCTATTTGTGTTTAATAACACAATAACAAGCCTTGATCTGAGTGTTTATATAACAAGCCTTGATCTCAGTCAATTTGGTAAATTTAAGCGTTTTAAAGCTTAAAATTAGTTTAGGAATAAGCTAAGAATAAGTAGTTTTATAAAATAATAATTAGCTCACATCTCTATAGGACAGAGTTGTGGTTTTCGTTAACAGTTTTTGAATTGGCTTTCACATACACTTCTTGAGTTTAGCAAGTCAGTAACGGGTTAAAATGAATGTGCTTTGAAAGAAAAATAAAACTATGATCTAGCTATCCAGTAATGATTTTAATTTTTTATGTTCTGTTCTGGAATTAGGTTAGTTGAAAGCTCATTTTAAATATCGGTGTAAGCCCTGGCTGGCATAGCTCGGTGGATTGAGCGCGGGCTGCGAACCAAAGTATCACAGCGCAGGTTCGATTCCCAGTCAGGGCACATGCCTGGTTTGCAGGCCACGGCCCCCAGCAACCGCACATTGATATTTCTCTCTCTCTCTTTTTCTCCCTCCCTTCCCTCTCTAAAAATAAATAAATCTTTAAAAAATATTTAAAAAAATAAATATTGGTGTAGTGCATTTTCTTGAAGATAAAGTATAAACTAACTTAAGTTAAATTACATTACCCTTATATATCACTGCACTTAACTGGTTTGTTGAAGTCAGACTTTTGAGAAGGATTTATTGTTACTTGCTAATTTTTAAATTGTCCTTGGTTTTCAGATGGGGCATCCTGGCATGCATTATGCCCCAATGGGAATGCACCCAATGGGTCAGAGAGCGAATATGCCTCCTGTACCTCATGGAATGATGCCACAAATGATGCCCCCAATGGGAGGTCCGCCAATGGGTCAGGTAAGAATGCTTTTGTTTTTTGTTTTTTTGTGTGTGTTTATTTACTTTTGTCTGTTGTATTGTGTTGAGATTGCAAAATCTGCGTCAATACTTGTAGCTATTTAAGGATTATTTTATAAAAGAATGTTTTCAAATATGTGAAATGTTGAATCATGACACTAACCATTTTGAATTTAATGAAGTCTTCTGCGTAAAAGAACTATTTTCACAGCAGCAAAACTAAGAGGTTTTTTTTAATACATAAATTTAAAAGTAACTCTGAAGGCTTTGTAGTTGTATGATCTTTTTCCCACAAGTAGGACAATTGAAGTTAATGTTCTAAGAGTAAATGCCTGATAGGAGAACATAGTTTATGTCGGCGGACCATGTAAATACATAGAATCTGAAGATTGCAATTGTTTAGGTCTTTGGTGTAGAATGAATTTTAATAGCTTGCTCTTGTGTGTGTATGTATGTGTGTGGTGGGGATGGAGGTGGGTAGGTTGTACTCTAATGTGATTCTTAATAGGACAATGACAAATAGGTAGTTCATTTTGCACTTACACTATTTTGTTGTTGTTTCCTTTTAATGCTTATTGCTTCTGCACTCCTGCTTTTGTGCTGTCCCTTTCATCTCCAGCATAAATTTTACATGGACATTTTGTGGGAGTGATTTGGATTAAAAGATTTTCATGCTGACTCAGTGAATTCAATAGAACTGAGTTCCTAGAGAAGCATTCAAGAAAGATAACAGGTTTAGTTACCATGAATAATTTTATGCCCCCTGTTAAGTTCTACAATATTTCTTAGTAGAGCTGCTCTAACTAGATAATGAGCTTTAAAAATATTTATTTTTAAAATGCTTTTATTCTTAGTAATAAAATACTTTTATCACTTAAAATTAGTTTGGTGGCTGGGTTCTTTCCATTTGAGAATCTCAGTAAATCATCAAAAATTTAGGCTAACAAAATATTTGGAAAGCCAATTAGGTATGAACTTTCTGCCAGTTAATGTTTTTTACTTTGATAAACATTTAAGCCTTGATGGTTTATTATTGGTGACACTGAAGTGGAGAAAGGAGCTTGCTCTGTGTTTCTCTTTTTATGTAACCTTAAGAGTAGAAGGGCTTAATGTTAAGTGCTTTCCTTTTTTTTACTTGGAATATAGCCCTTAGTTTTGTATAAAAATCTTTATTCAAAAACACCAGGCCCAAAAGGTTCTGTCTGTAGGAGTTATTTAAATAATAAAAGAACCATTTGCTTTGTTAGTCTAGAATAACACAAGTTTTAAACTCCCTAGGTGATGGAGAAACAACTTTGATTCTTCTTCTGTTTCTTTCCATCTCTAAACAGTGAGGAGCTCTTCTTGTTTTCTTAGTAGAGCTGCTCTAACTAGTTAATGAGCTTTAAAAAATATTTATTCTTTAAATGCTCTGGTTCTTATTTAAAATTAGTTTCTTTCCACAGAAAGATAAAATAAAACAATTTGCTACTGCCAGATGCTTCTCTCTTTTCTGGGGCCTTCTGTTTCCATTGGGCCAATCAAGGTAAGTTTTGCAAGGGACTGACCTGCTTACCCTTGCTGTGATGGTGCTAGTGCACTACCAAAAACAAGATACCAGCTAATCATTTCCAGTAAAATGCAGATTTTTTTAAAGTACTTTTGTGTATCTTATTCGCATAAGCTGGTCACAATTTGCTCTATGGCCCTTTCTTTTTCGTTGTATTAGTGACCATCTTTCTAGTAAGGTTACTGGCTACTTGGTACACATCCATTCAGGTACTCTGACTTTCACCTTGTGGTTTTCTTCTACTTTTTTCTTAGGCCAATATATGCCATGTGACTTTTAAGTGTACTTGACTAAATGTTTAGAAGTCTGTCTCTCCTATGTCTACTGTTAAGATAATGTATGTCTTAAAAGTCCAGCTCTGAGGGTCCCAAGAGAATCCCCATTGTTTTTCCTTAAAATCAGATTATTTCTTTTTTATCCTCTTAATATGTAACTAACAGATATTGGGTCCAAATGTTGGTAAAACTAGTTTTTATTTTAGCTTTGGTAATAGGCTGGGAGGACATGGATAATTTCAATTTTCAAGTAGTCCAGAAATCTAATTTAAAGCCTTGTAAACAGCCTTAAAAATAAAAATTGATAATTAGCAGAATTGATTCCTTTTCCTGTGTCATTTCTTCTGTTGACCGACTCTCAGAAGTATTAATGAATAGTAAGTGGTCAAATGATAATGAAAAGTGGGGCACCTGTCCAGTTCACTCCACTGACACAGAGAATTGGTAGGGTTCTTGCTGTCCAGCTTTTAAAAAATAAATTAACAAATTTTAGACTTTAGTACTGAAGTTTATATAACCTTCATGGATAATGCCTGGTTCACATTAAGATCTCATTCTGGGACCAGCTGAAGGCTAAAATTTGTGACAGTCTTCTAAATGATTGCAGTTTTTGGAATGTTTTTAAACATGACATGAAATTTCACCCTTATTTGTAAACTAATACATAGGCTGGGCAGAATACCAATCTTCACAAGCCAGAGTTCATAATTTTTCAAAGGCAGCAATTTATTTAGATTAAAGAAGTATTTTGTTCATTTTATTTCATTTAGTTTATTCTAGAGATAATCTAGAATGCCCTTTTTAGAATTCAGGCTGAATCTGTTAATAATAAATATTTGAATATTATCAGTGGAGCTCAATCATATTTCTTTCAAGTTTATTTCAGTTGTCCTGTAGGTTAAATTTGCCTCTTTCTTACATTAACTTCATATAAGAAAGTTATGCTTCTGCTTTTACAGAATTATAGGTTCTTACAGTTGGAAGGGGCTTTACAAGTTCATAAATTTTAGATAATGTGATTAAGCAATGGTTTGTGACTGGTAAAAAATGTTAATAAAGTAATTTTTCTGCTTGATGGCAATGCTCAAATATTCAGAAAAGATACACATTAAGACATAATTGTATATGAGGCCTTCTTTCTCCATATCTATAGTCAGTCATGTTTTGCCTTTAAAATGTTTTTACTCTTACTCCTTTGTTGTCATTTTTACACAAAGGACATGTAAATCCTTCTCTCTTTATCACAGATGATTTTGCCTTTGCTTAAGCCCAAGAGAGTCCTCCTAGTTGGTTCCATTTTTTTCTTTTCTTTTTTAATTCTTAATTTTTGTTATTTTTAATAAGTAAAAAAAATTTAAGGTCTTTTTCAGCTCTAACAGCCTATGATTCAATTTAGATCACTTAATAAGAGTAGATGATATGTAAGAGATTATATGATAGGGAAATAAAAACAAAATTCTTTTAGTAATGCCTCCCTAATTCTAATTTTTTCTGTAGGGTTTTCTTTTTTTTTTTCCTTTTATTTTTTTCTGTTTTTTTTTGTGTGTTTTTTTTTTTTTTTGATGGGGTGGCTTTTTTCAATAAACATAAGTAAATAATTGCTTTGTACAAATGAGTGTGATTTTTTTTTATTGAGTTGAGGCAGGCTTTCTGCTGCCATCTGAGCCCAAGTTGTTACACTCCCATGCCTTGGATATCCTTAGCAACTTTCGAGCTGGTTTTCTTATTTCAAGCCTGCTCCCACAAAAAAAAAATTCTCTTGAATTTCAGTGTGTTATCTCCTTGCCCAAAAACTCCTAATGTTTTTCTGTGCCTATAGCAAAATAACTAAATTCCACAGCTTACCTTTCAAGAATAGTATAATTCAAAGTGCAATTCTGAGCTGCATGTCTTCAGATTCCCTAATTTGAACCCCGGCTAGTCTTTTCATGGTATCTTGAATGTTGTATTAAGCTCATGACTAAGCTCATGCTGTCACCTCTTTGTCCTCCACTCACTACCTAATGAACTTTCTTTTACTTAAGTTCTACCATTTCAAGTCCTACCTGCTTCAGGAGGTCCTCAGCAATCTTTGTGCAGCATACACCTCCCCTTCAAATTATTAAAATAAAATCCTTTGTAATCTACCTATATAACTCTTATGGTTTCACTTATTTTGCCACTTAGTTATTGGCTTGTTTTGTTTTATGGTTAATTTGCTTTGTCTTCCCAACAAGTAATAGATTGAAAGCTCGTAGTAGGGGCAATGTTTTATACTTTTAGATAATTCTATAGATGCTGAGCACAGTTCTTGGCACATCATGGGTGCTCAGTAAAATACTTGTTGAATGAATGAAACACAAATACTCTTTCCTACAGTATAAGTCAGTAGGTGTTACATGTGACAGTTTTCAGTGGTTACCTGTGTGACTGACATTGTTACATTGACATTGTTTTCAGTGTCTGCCTTTTTACTGTTGCTTTTTTTATTTGACAAAAATGAAAGACAAATAAAGTGAAATAATGAATAACTTTTGGTGACTAAAGCAAATACTAATCTCCACTTAATTTAAATTACAGGCAAATCTGTTTTTTATTTATATTACTTCATTGATCATCTCTTTAAGAAGTTTTATCACAGGTTTTCCATGCTCTAGGGAAAAATGATTTGGAATGTAGGCCTTCCAGAGAAATTTCAAGTTATTAGTATCTTAGATTTATTTATCTGACTGATTCAACAGATTGATTTGTTGGCTTTTGCTTAGTAATCACCCTTACTTTTGGGTATTTACAGAATCCATGCCACTAAATTGAATATTAGCCCTTGACAAAAATAAACTTTTTTAAGGCTATATGCTTATAACTGTTGAATCTAGGTGACTTTCTGTATGCATTTACGTTACCTAGGCAAGTACTTCTAACAAAAATAGATTGACCTGGATTTAATGTGTTTTATAACTCTTGGGATGTATATATAGTTCATTTTGATAGTTTTTATTAATGATACTAGAAGATAAGTTTGCTTTCATTATTTTTAGATAGCAGTTCATTACAGTCTTACAGAAGTCTTTTAAAACTGTTTTTACTTAGTATTTCTGGGTTTTGTTTGACCATCTTCTCCCCTACTTCCTTGGTCTCTGTTACCCATTATCTGTTTATTTTGCTTTGCCTAGCACATTGCATGGAATTAGCATTTT